GAGACTCCCCCGCGCCCTTAGTGGCCTGCAGCCCGTGCTCGTCCTGTCTCCTTGGTACTCGCGTTTGTCGAGGGAGGAGTTTTATTGCATAATATCTCGGTAGTTTTATCGCTCTGAGATGCCTTCGTCGCCCCAGACTTAGGGTCTGCACCTGATGGCGAATGAATGGCTTGAAGTCTTCATGCAGGTCAACTTTCTGGCTGGAGAGTTATGATTCTTTATGCAATATGGCATGTCCGTTCTGGAGGAAAAGAAACATTTAGCCTGTGGAGGTATATGTTCCTGAAGTAGCCTTATTTAATAAGGATATTCCATGCCCCTCTAGTTTAAATTACCTATGACTGTCTTTTGTAGAAACTATTATCTTCATCCATTTTTTTCCCACTGTCATCTTTGTTTTATTGGAATTATTCAGTCTTAGAGCTTTAGGAGTGAGTTGTATGTGAAATATCCAAGAAGATGACTGTGATAGTGGATGGAGTGCGTTTGCCAAATATGGACCAGGCATATTAATGACTACTTCTGCAGAGGCTAAAGATCATTCATTAGCATCGGTAGCAGGGCTTCAAGTGTGTTAAGAAACTCAGTAAGGGCACTAGCAATACCAGAAGAATATTGCTTCATATGTGCAATGTATTTATGTTTAAAGAGATCTGGAAAAAAGCTGGATAAACTTCCTTATCAGAAGTGTCTTGCTCTCTCTTTTCCACATGCTTCTATTACCCTCTAGAAGCCTGGGTAGAGTAATTCCTAAGACTGTCTATGACGTTAGCTCACTTATAAAGTTGAAAGTGCCAAGGTGAAAGCTAGCTCACAGCCTGAGACACACATGTCACAGTGCAGAACAGCTGCAGACATTTTCAGCTGCTTAGGGCTTTCATTTACTTCCACCATTTTAAGGGTGCTTTGGTGCATTAAATATCAGGTTGTTCTTTTGGTTCGCTGCCTTTTGACCTCGGGTGGAGATTTAATTAATAGCATCCTATAGGTTGCTCTTGGCTGAGCTTGATTCCTTGCCAATCACTGTGTTCATTTCAGGGTTGGTTTAGGAAACATAGTGGAGTGGAACAGTTCTAACTGTTTCTGACTTCTGCCTGCTGTCCTGTGTGCCAATTTTTGACTGACAGTCTCAAGGCTGAGTGGGCTGGAATGGTCTATGATTACGCTGGTGGTCTCTGATTTGTTTAGCTGCTGACAGCTGACATCTGTGCTGAGGAGCAGTGTGTGCAAAAGGAAGAGCTAGGAAAAAGTCAGTTTTTTGAGTCATGTTAATCTGTAGCTGAAATCTGTCTGGAATTACACAATTGGTGGCTTTGTCCATTTTTGTTTCATGCGTGTGTAAAAATGGAGGTATTGTTTTTTTTCATGAGAGGGGAATAATGTCTGCGGTAACAGTTTCTTCACCTGTGATCTTTTGATCTTCACAGGAGTGACATAGCCCATATCCACTCTTATAAATTGCATATTCAGTAGTTACAACTTGAAGTATGGCTCTGACCCCATTTTGAAATTTAAGTGGAACTGGAGGGAAGTGACTGCTATCACTTGTAAGCTCTTTGCTTCTGTTATATGTCATTTGCATCTCTTTTCAAATATCCCTGGAAAATTGTTGTTGTCCTGCTATGTGCCATCTCTTTTCAAATATCCCTGGAAAATTATTATCCTGCTATGTGTACTTTACTAACTGCAAGAAGAAAGAGCTACACTTTCTTCAGGCAGACACATGAAGGAAGAATGTGAAATTACCTGTACCTAAGAAGTTTGCCACTGTACTATGATAGACTGAGTAAAGTGGTGTTCTCATTCCCTTCACTCCTAGGTCTTTGTAAAGCACTTTAAATGAGGGTAGGTAACCCTTTAGGGATGAGTGTCTACCCTTGAGGTATGTGTGCAAAAGTTTGGTAGCAGAGGGTGTGATATGCATGAGATAAGATAGGTGGAATAATAATTTCTATTAGAATAGGTACATACATGAAGTCATGAGTGCCATGGTGACCTCTCTGTTCTTACTGTTACAATATATTGAAATTTTACCAAGTTTTTCCAAGTGACATCATGCATACATAGTGTTACATCTGAAAGAGGATTATGTATGCAGACAGTACATTAGCTCTGTCAGGGCTGTTGCAGTCACTCTGTACCTCTGCAGGACTTAATCTGCTTTCAAAATGGTGCTGACAGTATTTATGTTCCTACAGGTGCTTAGGAGCCCTAATCATAGACAGGGTGATGACACAGGAGGAAATAGTTGTTGTAATAAGCTTTGAATCTGTGAAATGAGAAGGCAATATGGGTAGATAGGAAATAATGCTGATGTGTAGGAGATTCAGCATGCCAGTGGTCTAACTCTTGCCAATTTTCTGCAAATGCCAAGTGGGGAGAAAAGAGTGTGTGGTTTTGAGGGTTTTACAGGTTTAAAGGAGGTTTGTATACTAGTTTAGTGATGCTGCCTCAGGAGAATAGTTCCCAGGTGTCTGGGCAGCATGGACAATGTGCACAAGTGCTTGTTTGGAACGTTCAGTAAGTGGATGATGGCAGCTGGTGTTCCGAGCCAGGTGTCAGGGCTGCTAATGGGTGAGAGTGAAAAAGGCTGCAGAAGTCTTGAAAGAGGAGACGAGGGAATTTGGTGTGATAAAGGAGAACAAGTTCACTGCTGGGATGACAAGTTAAAGGCAGTGACTAGAAAAGGGATTCAGTCATCAGCTTTTAAAATAGATATTGAATTAAAAATGTGATGCCAGAGAAGAACATGCAGTAATACTGCAGTAGTATGTGAAGTAATATATTTTTGCCCTTTTTCTTTCTTTTTTTTTTTAGACAAGTATTAGTTTTTAAATTGGATGATGAAACATGGAGTTCTTCCTATCCCTTATAAATTTAGGAGTTTTATGACCATGTATTTTGGTTTATTCAAAGGGAGAGAGTAAGAGGAAAAACAATGACAAAATAATTTGATGGGATTTTTATGCAGAAAATGTTTATGCATTTAAAAAAAAAATTATTACTCTTTGAATCAGAGATAAAGAAATCTTAACATATAATATGTAACATTAAAATTTGTTCTGTGAGTCAAAATGACAGTGTTGTTTTTAAAACTCAAAGTTCATCTGGCAGCTCAGAACTTTTGTTTGGTTTTAGCAATTGTTCAGCTAGTTACACCTAACAATAAAAACCTTGGATTTTACCTTGGGACCAAATAAATTGTTTCTCTAGACAGACAACAAAACAAATGTGAGACACCTTGGAGTTAAATCCAAATTTTGCTTCCTCTTAATTAGTATCCTACCCTTTATATTCTTGTAGCTTTCCAAATATTTCTAGAGTGAAAACAAAACTAATAATTTCTTTTCACGTCATTGCAGTTGTAGCAACTTCAGCATTAAGATTATACTATTTTGAGACTAATTGTAAGCTGTATTTCTTTTTACTTTGAAGGTGAGCTTTGATTCCCTTTGCTATCCCTGGAACTGATGATGTTCAGCCTTCCCAAGATTCAGCCCTTAGAGTTTCTCCCTTTGTGTTCAAAATTGCAGGGAATCTGCTTAGATTCAGCCCTTAGAGTTTCTCCCTTTTTGTTCAAAATTGCAGGGATTCTGCTCTCCTTGTTACAAAGCTCATATGAGGTCATTGGAAGCACAAGATTAATGTTGCTAGTTAGGAAAACAAATTAAACAAAGCTGGTTCTTAGTGTAACACTGTTTGACTGAAGGCTAATGTCAGTATGAACACTTAACTAACTCTTCTAATTATTTTGTCAGCTCCATTATTCACAGCAGAAATTTGAGGTAGCAGTTTCTTGTTAACCAGAGTGCCTGTGGTTGACACTGTTTTTTGAACCCACCCCAGTTTGACTTGGTAAAAGGTAAAAGCTTTCTAAACAGACAGACTGCAGTTCCAGTTGCCCAGAGCTCCAGAGAAGTCAATGATTAGCCAACTCATTTGTTCCCAGGGAACCAGGGCTCTGGGGGCATGTGGTATAAGTGGTGTCATGATTGCCTCAGGAACTGGGATGATGTTATCAGTTACAGGACCTGTGAGATGTGCTGACTGTGGTGGGCATGCCCACCAGCAGCGATTCCATTGCTCTCAGTGTAACTCTGAACAGAGCTTCATGCCTAGGCCTGAGCTTTGTTGAAGAGCACTGTAGCCATAAACCTCAGTTTTCCCTGTGAGGCTGAAATGTGTCTGCAATTTATTGGCTCCTTTGCTGATTGAGTTTGTTTCTGTCTTATTAATAGACTTGGACTGTCTGTCTAATAAACAAACATGAGTCATCTGAAGTTGTTTGCAGCTACGCTGAAGTGGCATGGCATTAAACTTCTGGAAAAGCAGGATATAGCCAGAAGGGCATTTTTACATGGCCAACGGTATGTTTCATCAGGAACCTCAGAACCCGTCCTGAGTGGGAGTAATTCAAATTATGTGGAGGAAATGTACTATGCGTGGCTTGAAAACCCTAAAAGTGTACATAAGGTAAGTCTTAAACTTGACTATAAATGGTAATATTGGGTTAAGACTGGAAGAGTTTCTTTACTTTTAAACTTTTTTTTTTTTTTAAAAGTTCAGAAAAACGTCTTGTATGAAATGAAAAAATGTGAAATTAATTTCCCACGTATTGATTGCTTTAAGATGTAATATCACAGCTAAAAAAGTACAGAGGAGCCACAGGCATGGTGAGTTGAGCAGAAAGAATGAGAAGTCCAGACCAGAAATAGTAAGCTGCTCTGAAACTTTGTTCCTCCCTGGAAATGCTGTTCAAGGAGTCCATTAAGTAATTAATTACATCTGGAAAGAAGACCCAAGAGTAAAATACATTTAATTTTCTGGTTCCTTGTAATAAGGTTGTATCAGAGAATGTTATATTTAAATTATGTATGTTGACATTGGTACTTCTAAACTGTATGAAGTTCCTTTTAGGTAGCTGTGGAAGTTGTAACCTTAAAACAGAATCTGAAATTGTCAGAAAATTCTTCTAAATGTCTTGAAGAGAATTTTTTGTCTCTCTCCCTCTCTTTCCAGGCAACATACACTTGTTTGCCTTTTTTTTTTTTATTAAAAAAACCTTTAAATCTATTGCCCAAATCCTTTCTTGTGGGCAAAATACATAGGCTTAATTTTTAACAACCTTTCTGCTGACAAGGAAGGCTCTGTTATGGTGATACATGTATAGTAACTTAAGAAGCTGATGAGAAATCTGATAAATTCTAAGGCAGACAAGTCATTTTCTAGAGAAGTAATGTGAATTGTGCCCACAATGTTTACCAAATTGGTTGTCTGTTCCCCTATTCTCGAGGCATGTATATCAAAATGTCACTTAGAAGTTGTTATTCTAAGTCTGATAATCTATCTGCAGCATGAGGAAGTGACGCATGCTGGGGGGGCAGCAAAAGGGAGAAAATAAAGGCAGTTTGCCAGCTGCTTTTTAGGATGTTGTGTTTAGGATGAATTCAGTTTTGTTCAAAGTTGACATATGCAGTGGCAACTTTGAAGACTGAATGTGATCCGAGGTCATCGTCTTCCTTCTCTCATCCCATCTGACTTTGAGCCCTTGTCCTGTAAGTGCCAGCTGAAGTTCCAGCCAGTGTGGAGTGGGGCAACACGTTGTGTGGGTGCACTGAATTAATTTTCAAGAACCCTTCCTGATGTGTTGGTGCTGTAGATCGGTATCAACTCGTTCATACTCAGGACACTGAGAGGGTGAACTCATGCATAAGGAGTGTGTACGGTGACATCACACCGACATCTTGCTTTTATTTAAATAACAAACGTTACATTGGCCCGTGAGGACCTTCTTTCTTTTCGGAAGAACGAAACACCTTGTTCGGACCATTTGCAGTGGTGTATTTTGCTGCTGTGGAGCCCTGCAAACTTCTCACGGGACGCCAAGTTCCGCTGGGTGTCCGCAGCACTGCGTTCGCCGGGAGCTGGCCAGGGTGCTGAGACAGGCGGCTGAGAAATTTAGACCTGCCTGTGGTTTTGCTGGTACTCGGCGTACGGCGAAAATGCTAAAAATCCTGCCGAGAGACTATCCAGTTCGTCTGGCAGTGCAGACACAGTTTGTCGGTGGATCCCGATGAGGTGATGCAGTCTGTAGATTGGACAGTGGCCAATAAATTAGCAGAAGTGAATTGACAGAGGAATGTAAATGCTGTTGGAGTAGGGTGTGGCCTAGGGAGTGGATCCCCGGTAATTCAAGACACATTTTTTGTTGTGGTTCAACCCTAGGTGGCAAGCAAGCAGCTGCTTGCTCACTCCATAAGGGTAAAAGGTAGAAAACTCTTGGATGAGATAAAGGCAGTTTAACAATGTAAAAGGTAGAAAACTCTTGGATGAGACAAAGGCAGTTTAACAATGAAAACAGAAGCCACGCACACAAGCCAAGTGAAACAAGGAATTAATTCATTGCTTCCCACGGACAGGCAGGTGTTCAGCCATCCCCAGGAACGCAGGGCTTCATCACACACAGTGGTAATTTTGGAAGATAAACATCATCCCAGGCAACCAGCAGTAGGACAAGAGGACACAGACTCAAGCTCTGCCAGGGGAGGTTTAGGTTGGATAATAGGAAGAAATTTTTTACAGAGAGAGTGCTCAGGCATTGGAATGTGCTGCCCAGGGAGGTGGTGGATTCACCATCCCTGGAGGTTTTCAAGCTGAGGCTGGATGTGGCACTTAGTGCCATGGTCTAGTGACCATCCTTGGACTCGATGATCTTTGAGGTATCTTCCAACCTGGTTGATTCTATGATTCTATAATCACTCTGAACATCCTCCATCCTTCTTTCCTGACGTTATATGCTGAGCATGATGTCATCCGGTATGGAATATCCCTTGGATCAGTTGGGGTCAGCTGTGCCAGGTGTGTCACCTCCCAACTCCTCATGCACCCCAAGCCTCCTTGCAGGTGGGGGGATGTGAGAAGAAGAAAAAGCCTTGACTCTGTGTAAGTGCAGATCAGCAATAACAAAAACATCTCTGTTTTATCAACCCCATTTTCAGTGTAAATCCAAACAAGCCTCAAAACAGCTGCTGGAAGAAAATTAACAACTCCAGCCAAAACCAGCACAATTATAAAAATGTGTGAATTCTTTTCTAGGTTAACTATATGTAATATATTTACAACAGTAACGAAGTGAAGTAAATTCACTCTGTCCCTGGTTTATGAGGCTTAAAAGAATATGATTGATGGACATCATGGATTACTTTGCAGCTATTCTTGCCTAAATGATTAGGTTTTTCACAGCCTAGGAACAAAAAGGGAGGAAGGGAGAAGAATGATGACAATTAATTTTACTTTGTCTCACCAACAAAATTAATTTCTTTTTTCTTGAACACCATCTCATTTCATCAGCTGAAAGTTGTAAATACCTACTCAAGATCTTTGTTGACAGAAATGGGTCAATTTGGGCATTATAAAACAGGTTAATAATGTTAAAAGTTGAAATCACCCAGCTTCCTTAAAAATATAGAGAAACCAGTGCCATAATTTTATGCCTGTAGACAACTTGTGAATTTGTCATTCTGCTGCGAAAAGGGGTGGAAGTGTTGGAACAAAATGTCAAGAGACACCATGAGGTGTTGGTTATGGTATTGTTAATAATTTGATTCTCTGCAGGCCACTCATGTTTCATCATTTTATTCAGTATGTCCAGCATGGATTAGAGAGCTAGTTTGTGCTAGGCATTTAGACATTATATTCTCTTTCCTCATTTTCCTCTAAAGAGGAAAATGTTTTTTCTTGGATATCTCCTTATCAAAGGGGATGTGCCTACTACTCAATCAGAAGGAAACCCCCTATTTTTCTGGGAATAAAAATCATGCACTATTCACTTTTACTTAGAAACTCCAATTAATCAAGACTCCTCAAATGATTTCATGCTCAGAAGATTTGACTGGACATGTCTCCCCACTTTTGCTTATTTAAAACTGTTTGCAATATGACTGTCACATTGCAATGAGTGTATTCAGTGCTGCTAGGGTTTTTCTAAGAATCTCTCCTTCCTGTATGTATCATGGTTATATATGAAGGAATATGCTTGTATATGCATAGGAGCTTTTATTCTTTGTGCAGATCCATTCCTGATGGTTTCCAGCTTTTCCTTGTCTTTTGAATTTTTTATCCTTAGAGTAGCCAAAACACCGATCAGAATAAAATGACGTGGTCTCTGAAAAAGGCATCATTATTTCTCCTTGAAGCTTGATGTCAGGGCCATAGATCATAAGAGAGAAGCTTGACAAGGCTCAGTTATTACTATCACAAGATTAATTACAAAACTGCACGGTTGGATATGGAGTACATAATGCCTGCCATGTTATCCCATATGCAGCTGCTCTACCATGAGTGTGTAATCACTTCCTTGGTTTATGTACTAGGAAAAAGTGTGGGAGTTTGGTTTTGTTTGACTTAATTTTTTTCTTTTTTTTTTTTTTTTATTTAAATGGTGTAGTGATGCTCAGTGTGTATCTTTTAAGGCTTTACTGTTCTTACTGCAGTTGATGGATATTGTGATGTTACTAGGAAAAAACTCCAACCATCAAGATAACAAATATGTTACTTGTTATTCTAAGTGCAACGTTGTTTATGATATGAGATTAGAATGTTGCCACTGAATCACTTGAATTGTGTTACATTACTTGATAAAATAATGGTTAACTACAATATAGATTTGCTGACAGAAAAAAAGCCCCAAGGAATGTATCATCTATCACTATAGTAATTTTGTTTTCAGATTTATTTTTCTATTATGTCTCCTCCAGTATTTTCTTGAAGGACTTTAGAAATTTAGTTGAGAAGCTGCAGATTTGCTGGGAGACCAAGTTGGTCTTCTGTCTGTTCAGTCACATGGCAAATGCTGTTCCCAAAGTCTGACATTGATACACAAGACTTGAAGACTATAATCTGGTATCAATCTTGAAAGACACTACAGAAATTTGTAAAGGCTTTGATGGATGTGTATCTAGAAAAAACTAATTTTCTGTAGCCAAATGATGTATTTTCCCTCCCCTCTGATTAAATGTCAAGCCTGCCCAACAAATCAATAGGTTCAAAAATGTGATAGGAGAAAATAGTGTGAGTTCCTTCTGTCCCAGCTGGCTGCATCTTCAGGTGTAAATGTTCTTTTTATATTTGTAAGTTTGCATGAAGAAAAGATCCTGTGCTGATTCTCCTTAAACAGGTTGCTTGTTGGACAAGTCTGTTTGGATTTTGTTAGTAACTGTCTCAGCAGAGCACTTGTCTAAAAATATATTCAATTGTTTCTGGGACTGTGCTGTGATAACTATTACATCTAAAAGTTGTGCTCTTTGACTCAACAAAGGAATAGTTATGTTATTATCCTCGTTGTATGTGTATCATGATGTTGGAAAAAGTAAGGAAGGAACCTTACCATAACCAAAGCAAATTCTTTATTAGAACTTTGAATGAATACAAAATGTCAGATTTGACACAGATCCAAATGTGTGTTTGGAATTTCATAATTTAATGTTTAATGGAAGTTAATAACTGTGTATTGCCCAAGTAATTTTTCCAGTCTAAGCAGCCTTTGTAGTTAAAAAAGGGATTGTTTTTCACAATAAGAACAGTATCCTACACTTATAGGATGTTGTGTAAATTCAGACTTGTAATCTCAGTGCAGCTAGCAAGGTGTCAATATAAGAGGTATTTAGGAAATGAGCATAAATGAGGGAAGGGAGGAGGAATAAATCAGTGTGTCTGGAGCTGACCACCATATATGATCAGTCTGCCTTAATTTGTCACAGCATGTAAAAGTTAGGTTATGTTTAGATCATTTAGGCTCATTACACATTTAGGCTATGTGTAAGAGCAGGGTGATAAATTAAGTTTACCATATTTGTATCAATGCAGCTTTGGATGACTAAAGAAGTAAGAGAGGTACATTAAAGCAATATTTCTTGGGCAGTGGCTTCATGCTAAAGATGAGGTTTGCACCCACAGATTCAACGAGTCCCCTCACTTCCATAACTTGAAAGGCTGAATGATGCTTAGCTCTTTTATGCTGCCCTTCTCATGGTGTTTACAAACATCTTAGAACCTGTAGAAATTCCAGTATGAAGACTTTTTGTTAATGAAGATGGGATTCTATAAATCTTTTTCTGCCATGCCATGTTGGCATTACATTATTTTGATATTTTTTGTGTGTTCTGCAATGAATATAATAAGTAATGTTCTTTTAAAAATAAAATCTTTGATCTGCTTTTTATCTTTCCTGGCACTTGGCTCCTTGAAATGCATTAATTTGAAGCTCACTGCCAGGACAAATAACATGCACAAAATTAAAGTTATCTTTTCCAATTCTTTTTTTTTTTAAATCTTTTTTTTTAAAGTTAGCCTACCGAGGGAAGTGTTTATGACCTTTCATTATCTTTATGGAAAACTGTAAGCTAAGTACAAGTACTGCTTGGTCTCCTGCTAGTGCAGGCTTTCTTCTTTGTTTGGTTTTATTGCATTCTGCTGCTCTCTGTTAGCATTAATTTATCTAATACTATTCCAACCTGGCAAACCTCATTGGAATGGAAACAGTTCTGGGATACTTGGATAAAGTACCTTGCAGTACCTTGCGTAGAAGTGCAGATGAAAATAAAAAGATCTTTTGTTTGTTGTGATTCAGTTTCTGACAAGTACTCTTCTAAAGTTATGACTTGCACTTGAAACTAGGCCCATAATTTCTTTCATAGTAACATAACCTAAGCTGGTGAGGAAAGGATCTTAGACTGAAAGCCTCACTCAAAAAAGCTGTAATTGCTTTTAAGTAGTTTCTTCAAGAAAAGTTCGTAAGGACTGAATCTGATTTAGCATAATCAGCATCTTGAAGTATCATAAATCCTATGAGTATGATTAAAGGAATGGATTCATTTACTTTATTAAGGATTTTTGTTTTGTAGGCTTGATAGCTCTTTACCAGCAGCATAATATCATATTCCTGCCTGCCTGAATAAACACTACAGTTAAGAAGAGCTGTGTGAATGGATAATGTACACAATTGCTTTGCATACATTTGTGCTGGAGAGTTTTCTGCTGTGCAAGCTCAGTATAAGAATTGAGAGGAAAAGGGCTCTGTGTAGATAAAACAAACAGCTGCTACTGAGATTTGGACATACCAGTGCTCTCTTTTTGCTGGTTATTAGTGGAGCTTAACACTGTATGGTAGTGAGGTACCATTTGCAGCTTGAAGGAGCTGCTTTTGGTTGAGACTTTTGTTTGAGGTAATAATTTTCCTTTTTCTTCTCTGTACACATGTCTAGTCCTGGGATTTGTTTTTCCGAAATGCTAATGTTGGCCAGGCATATGATCCCCATCTACCAGAGCAGCTGGAAAGAAAGGCATCATTTCTTCAGAGCCATGGCCTGGCCCAGACACCGGGTAAAGCTGAAAAGCTTGTTGAAGATCACCTTGCTGTGCAGTCTTTGATAAGAGCATACCAAGTAAGTGTACTTTGGGGTAGATGTGGGAGGGTCTCTCCTTTGCAAACAACCTTTTTCTCCCTTTTTTTTTTCCCGTTCTTGTTTATCTTCTGGTCTTTTCTAATCCAAAATGTCTTGAACTAGACAGCCTGTTCTTACCTGCACTGTGTCTAAGAAAGTACTGGATTCAGACAGGGGTGATCCTCTGGTTTAGCAAACTCTTAATTCACATTACCTGCAGACCTGATGGTGGTCATCTGCCTTAGCCTGGAAGCTCTTTATGGAGGCAGTAGGTTGTGAAAGGGAACATGGACATCTTGGATTTTGCCCCTTTACTGGGAGCAGGAGCCAAACAACTCAAATCTTAGCCTTTGCTATTCTTTTGGCTCACTGAGTCTTGAGTTTGGGAAAGCTTTGATGGATTTCTTTTAGAAAACTGTCCATCAAAGTTGGCTTTGTTTCACAATCATATTTGTAACCCTTTTATTAAATTAAGAAATTAAGTCTAATTTCCTTATTTTTCCCTCTAGAAGAAGGAGGATTTTGGAAACAGGACAGTGGTTTTGGTTAGATGTTTTCTAAATGTAAAACAAGTTTGAATATTTTTATTTAGATTTGTGTTTCGTATTTTAATTTCAATAAAAGGCTTAAAACCAATGTAGAATAAAACAAATTCCCTCAAAACCAGATCAGTGTTGAGCAAAATACTCCAGTTTGATTTTTATTTTTTAAATGAGTATGTAACTTCTCAGGAAGTTTTCTGCAGTTTGACTTGAGCAGATTTGTTCTGCCCTGCTCCAAGTATTTTAACTCCTGTTTGGTGGCATCAGAGGAATAGAAGAGGACATTTTTAAATTACTTCTTTGTACACATGGCATTGTCACCACTGTGTTGGAGAGATGTTGTAAAAGAAAGAAACACTTGTGAATATAAAGAATATATGAAATTTTCTTAGAAATAGGTATGTAGAAAACAACCACTTCAGCCTATTCACTTTTGCTTGCAGTAAAAATTTGGTGAAGAATTAGAGAAAACTGGAGAATGTTAGGCTGCTTTGACATCATTTACTTGCAAGTAGGTCAGGGATTGCCTTTTGTTCCCTATATTTGAAAGACTGTGCCATCCAAGTCAAGTGATGGAACAGAAATGTTCTGTATAAGTGGCAGGCACCCATGTGTCTGCAACTAACAGTCAAAGAGGATTGCCTAAGGCAACTGCCTGTTTTTTTAGAAGGTATTTAATACCCTCTAAATTCAGTGTTGAAAGGCTTTGATCAATTTGTGACCTTCCTTTGCCTGATAATTAAACAAAATGGAGAAGGATACAGAATTTTTATTTCTCTAGCCTGTCAGTATTTTATGTTTTTTGTGGTAAACTGCTTTGTGGTCTGTTGAGCTGGACTTGTGAAAAGGCAGTTAATCTATTAGTTCTCCTAAATAGAGCACTGGACACACTGAATGAAAGATTTCCAGTGAAATGCATGTGCTTAACAAAAACAAGTCTAGATAAATTAATTTCTTGAGTCTTCTTTTATCATGTAGTTTGGGGTTGTGTGTGGGTTTTTGTTGTTCCTGTTGGGTTTTTTTCTTTGCATCTGTGTCTAGAAAATATAATCTACTTTCAGGCAGCCTGTACTTGCATTTAGTCAAAGGTATGGCAATTCATAAAAGTTTTCTATGCATTTATTTTCACAAGGTTGAGCTATGATTTCTGCAGATGTTACTATTTTCTGTATCCAGTGAAAGTTGTAGAAGTTGTTAAAAAATATCTTGATATTGAGGAAAATACTGTCTTTTAGTTAAAGACCAAACTGCTCCTGGAGTATAATGTAGCACAGTGCTTTATTGATTTGCTTTTCTGGGTTTTGGCATTCTTGCTGATGATCTTCCTATTAATACTGCAGAGCAGATGTAACTTAGGGAGGTGAATTCTTTCCTGTTGATGATGCTCGAGACAGAATTGTTTGCTTAGTTCCAGTCAGATAGACTTAGTGCTGCTGTAAACAATCAGATGGCACAGATGTTGCCATGGGCATCATTTGGCCTGTCAGGGTTTTATTACTGGTGATTGATGAGATGCAAAGAATTGCATTGCAGAAGTCAGGCTGAGTTTATAGGGCTGGTGGTTCTAAAAAAGATGTTGCATTTCCATTTGCTTAGGACTGGAAACCATTTTGTTATGGACTCCTCTGCAAATATAGAATACTTGAATGGTGTTTTTACAAGTCACATGAACCACACTTTAATTAGACTCTATTACTGTGTGCTGCATTTCACTATTAATATTGCAGTTTATTAATTCCTTTCTTTTCAGGGGCAATTAGGATACTAGTAATGTGAATGAAATTGTACCCAAGTGATCTGAATGTGTTATTAAAAAAAAATTTCAGGAGAAAATTTTCCTATATTTATCTATACAGAGCTTTTAATGAGTTAATTTGGTATATGAGAGTCATGCATAAGATACATTAAAATTATTCTATATTTGTGGCTCTAATGGATCAATTAGTTACTTCTTCTGTAGCAATGTTATATGATAATAAAGAACTAGTTTATGGCAACCTGTGGCATGAATTAACACCAGTCATGCTGATAACTGAAACCTGGCTAAATTCCCCACTTAGTTTGTGTTTTTCAGTGTCTTGAATGTCAGTTTTGTCATAGATCAAATTTCAGAAATTTCACAAATGAAAATAGATGCTATCTGATGTGGAGCAGAGCTCATGAAGAGTGATCCCTTCACTGCCAGATTAAACTGCATTAACACCAGTCTGTGTTTTAGGTCAGCAATGCTATATTTTAGTATTCTGCAGGTGCAGAAAGGAGGATTCAGGCAAATATACAAAATGACTGAATTGGCAAATGATAAGACCTATAGACTAGTCATAGTTTTTAAATTCTACTCAGAGATTGAGAGTGTAGTCTTTAGTAGCTTTCTTTATGTAAACTTCAGGGTAATCCCAGTTGAATTGCATGTCAGACAAAATAAAGGGTATGTTCTAATGTGTATTCAGTAATTTCTAATAGAGCTATATATGTATCCAGTAATATAATGCTTATTTATTGTTTTCATGGGAAAAATGTGCCCCTCTCATCACATTAGTGGTGTTTACTTGTTTGACCTAATGGTTGATACATATATACTATGGAGAGATCTCAGTGACTTTTTCCCTTTGTCTGACTCTTGTTAGTGTGATTTCGTTTTTCTCTTACTTTCCTCCTTTTTCAGATCCGTGGTCATCATGTGGCTCAGCTAGATCCCCTTGGAATTCTGGATGCAGACTTGGATTCATTTATTCCTTCTGACCTAATTACTACAATCGACAAACTCGGTGTGTATGCTGTATGCCTTCTTACTTGCCATGGGCTCGCTTGCAATCGTCTCATGTGTCTCATTGAGCTGAGGTGATTTAATAAGACAATTCACAGAATCAAAGAAAGGCTTGGGTTGGAAGGGACCTTAAAGATCGTGTAGTTTCAACCCCTTTCCATGGGCAGGGATGCCATGTTTCAGGGAAGATTCTCTCTTTTCTGCTTGCTGGTATCATGAAACAGTGCCTTTGAGCATTTGTAAGGAAGCTAAAATTTCAGGATAATGGAATTTCTAGTCTAAGATCACAGCTGAGGTTTTAAACACTCAATAAAATCCCCAAATCTGATGTTTTTGTTCCACATCAGAAATTAATACTAATCAATACATTAGGCCAAGATTCTGGTAATCTAAATTACTCTTACACTGTTATGTTTGATACTTGTTTGAACTGGATACATCTGAAGGCTAATCAATAGGGAAAACAAGCAATAAGTGAAACACTGGATGGAGGAACTTAGGGTAAATTTCAGACCAATTTTGGATTTTTTTTATATTTATTCTTTCTGTATGACTTGAAGAAGTCTGTTTAAAGTTATCAGAAGAAAACATGGGAAGTGTAGAATTCTTTCCTTATGGATATAATCCAATGGTGATCACTTCAGTTTACTGCTGGAAGGGTATAGTGCACTCGGGTTTGCTTTTGCAAAGCTTGTTCTGGTTGCTGTGAGGGCATGGCTCTGAGAAATTGCACTGATCAATTTCTTTGCCTCTCTCTGCTTGAATAAAAAAGCACCTGATTGATTTTTCAATCTACCTGGTTTGTTTAAAATGGAGGTTTCTACTTGATGAAGACACTGAGTCAATTTTTCTTTGATGTGTACGGAAGCTTTTTGGACTAGACATAAAACATAGTGCAAGTAGTAGATAGAACACATTCTGCTTAATTTTACTCTAAGTATATCTACTGCCTCTTTGCTGCTGTGGTTTCTGTTTCTTGTGGTAGGGGAAGAAGCAGTTCTGATCATAGAAAGGCAGCAGAGTGCCTAAGATTGTAAATTGAGAGGTGATTACACAAATTGGGTGTTCTCCTTGAAGTTTGTCAGCTTTAATTAAAGGCAATTACCTCTTAGAAAATACATTAGACATTTACTGAGAAAATGTGATTAGTTTGGAGTAGGGGTGACTGCTAGCACGTCAGTAGGCATTTCTTTAAACTCTGCAGATAGTTTAGTGCAGAGTGCTGTGGCTGGTCAGATGCTGAAACACTCATGCCTGTAGGAGGAATATGCTAGACATCTGAATGTCATGGGGGGATGTATCTGAGAGTGCAACTGTGGTGGTTTCAGTTTGCAAGGCGAAACAAAATTTCTAACCTAGTTTTGGCATAGCAAAAAAAAAAAAAAAAAAAAAAAAAAGGTAGGATCTCAAATATTGCCTATACTTGAGTGTTCCAGGCAGGAAACTTATGAAAGGTCTCTGGCAGTACAGAAAGTATTTTAGTGTTTGATTTTTCTGTGCATGTTCTTTGTCCCATCTTCTGGTTGCTTTTTGAGAAGCTGTATGGTGGGAAGTTTCTTCTAAGAGTTGCTTCTACAAATGCAGTTACAGATGTACCTACTGCATGATTCAAGTTCTAGAATTGCTTCAGGATTTCAGTAAGGTTGTGTCTCTTTAAACATGAGGTGATGCTTCAGTAAATGTGGTGCTGCAGTACACAGGACAGATGTTCTGTGTGTGCCCAAATCACTCCTGTACGTGTTCTGGTTTATGCATGATAGAACATGAAGAGCCTGTGAAGTCTGAGGGACAGTCAGAAAAAAAAAAAAAAAAGATGTTAGCACTTCTTTGTTTCAAATTACAGTCTGAGGGACAGTCAGAAAAAAAAAATAAATAGATGTTAGCACTGCTTTGTTTCAAATTACACTAAAGCCCCTGTCATCCCCTCTCCCTTGCTACTGGGGAAAAAAATATTACAACACCAAAAAGAAGAAATACACCTTTTTTTGGTCACCTCAGATTTGAAATGTTAATATATTATTTAAACCCTCAAAATAATATTTTAAAATATATTATTTTTAAAGTACAAAATGTGTTCTTTACTGGCTGCTGTGTAGTAAAGGTGTCCAATGCAGTCCTATGGCCTGGCTTCAACTCTAAATGCTAAGTTCCATTGTTATTTCATCTTTAAATTGCTGCTTCACTCTCATCTTCAGCAATGTCATTTAACAGAGAATACAGAGCACTATTCTTTATTGATTTAGGAGTTGTGTGCAGACTGTCTGATCCGTGTTAAAGTGGATATCTGCAGCTTACCTGGAACCAAGTTCAAAATTAAAAATACAGATGCTATTGTTAATTTTAAAAATACCTTTACCTGTGTAGACACACATATATAGTTTTAATGCATAGATCAGTTTCTATAACTGTATGTAGTGTGTGTTATAAGTGTTATACAACACATTCTTACACTTGTAAGAAGCTGTTTCTCCTTTCCTCAGCTAACAGGTCTAGGTTAAACTTGTGTCATACAAAGACTTTAACTTGCACTGATAACAGTCTGTCTTGTGTGTGATGTGTTTTGACTTTTGAAACTGCATAATAGTTAAGTTAAATACTCTCTTAAATAATATTCTCAGCCAGAACAGGTTTTGATGTGTCTAGGTCAAGATGGGGATGATATGGTTAAACAAGCCCTTGTTTTAGATGGTGACGATGTGGAAATCTGTATTTATAAGGGGTCACTGATTGGGACATAGAGCTATGCAGGCCATTAAATGGCTATTTCAAACTACCTTCCCTAAAAAGAGAGAGTGAATAGAAATACTTGGAAGTTCTACCAGAGTGCTTGTACAGCATTACATTGAATATGTTGTGTGTTTTCTCTTAGTCTTATCTATTAAGGTAGTAGTTCTGTCTGTGAGAAGGGATTCCTTTGTGTTTGTTGCTCATGACAGAGCAAGGAAGAAATCCCAGTCATTACAGTTAGTTGTTTTACTACACAGTGAACTGCAAGAGATAGCACATATACCATTGATTCTCCATACTAATATGTTAAAATATAAAAAAGGTTTGGGTGATTTTAATTTCAGTTGTTTTATCTGAGCATTTAAGAAAGAGTGGTTTACACTTCTATTCAAACAATGACTACTTAATTAAAACACTTATTTTAAAAGCCAGACTAAAGTGCATTTTACTAATGGATGCCTTCAAAGTATTCACACTTTCAATTTTTAAACCGGTGCCTTCTTTCTTAATATTGCTTTATTAAACATCATTGCCATGGTTTGAAAAACAGTGCTGGTTCCTGTTTTGTCTCCTGCCCTGCTTTGTAAATCAATAATGTACCTGTTGTAGGGTTTTATGGTTTGCATGAGTCAGATTTGGACAAAGTCTTTCAGCTGCCAACAACCACCTTCATAGGAGGAAATGAGAACAGTCTTTCTTTACGAGAGATCATCAAACGCCTGGAGGTCAGTGGCACATTCTGTGATTTGTGATTGTTTTCATCCAAACTGAAGTGAACTTTTACTAGCTGTCAGTCACAAAAAAAACATGTATCATTTGTCAGTTATTAATAGATCATGTAAAGAATTCAAATGGCATTTAAAATCACTTTTGTACTGGTTCTAGAGGTAGCAGCAGCATTGATTTCCCTACCTGGATATCTAAAATACATAGATAAAGGATGAGTATAACAGAGGTGAATATGATAGAATACTAATTAAATCCTTTATCCTGTAAGAACTGATGATGTTTAAAAGGACTAGAGCCTTTAGAAAGTGTCTTTTAAGTGTCCTACCACAGATAAAGCCCCTATGCATACAGTGCTTAGGATGTTCAGGGGTTGCTCTCACATCCCTAGCTTTAGTGAGGCTTTGACTTGAGGAAAAATATGAAGGTTGGGCACCAAATTCATGAGAGCTCAGTTGTAGCTTGTAGACAGTGATGGTCCTTGTTTTCCATCCCCAGTCTTTTTTCTAGAGTTTTATTATCTGACAGGGGATATGAAGTCATCAAAGCTAAAACAATTTAAAGCCAAACTACTTTGAAGGAATAAATAACAAAACAGCAAGTAGGACTGGTAATGAATTTGTAGACTACTAAGTGAATTAGTATTGGATATTCCTGGTTGTTTGACTTTTATGTCAGCTTAGCTGAAGCATGGTAACTTGGCAAGCCACATTACCTCTGTTGTGCATTTGAGGACTTTTTAATTTTTTTTTTATTTGCACTTCTAGATTATCTGTGTAGCGACTTTCAAGAGACAATCCTTAAAACTGTAATGTGCAAATAGACAAAATCTATAGCAAAATCTAAACACCTCAAAGAACTTATTTGTGTTAAGGAGAGAACCCTTTGGTTTCCTCTTCTCTCTATTTTCTTTTTTTTTTCTAATTGAAGTTGACATTCAACTCCCTTTTAGAGGCAGTAGAGAGGACATACTATGTCTTCAGAGTGGTTTTGTCTCAAACTCACAGTAGGTCTTACTTCTCTTGACTTGTATTTTGGACACATTTTGCTGATGAAATAGTCTTTTTTAAGGTAAGAAGCAGAAAACTTAAAAAATGAACGAGGGGATAAAATTTCTGGTGTGTCTTTGCATTTATTCTCATCCTTTCTCTGTTCTCAGCTTCTTGGATTGTTTTTCAGATTCCCAGGTTTCTGAAACTTGACAATTATCAGATAACTTTCATGAGACTTCATACCTGCCTTGTCACTGCTTTTATTGCTTGATTTCAGGTGATATTTAAAAAAGACAGGGTAAATTTTGATAAATTTCTTGAAATCCTTGCTGGTGCATCTAAAGAAAAGACTGTACTATGCCTGTAAGAACAGTACTAAGTTAGGAGAAATGTGTTTATTTGCCTTCTTTGAATGCATCACCAGATGACAATCTTCCAGTTTCAGATTTTTGAAACATTACTTTGTAGAAAAAGCTTTGTGGCACAAAACTAGATTTAGCAAAATATTCACTTCCAGGATTACTGTGGAGAAGACATAGTGGAAAAGGAAGAAGACAAGAAGCTTTCACAAGAGTAACAGGGCATATAATTTAAAAAATATATTTATTTCTTCATGGCTCATTAGCTCCTAAAGCTTCTGTTGTTGGCATTTTCACATCCTAGAATACCTACTGCCAACACATTGGCTTGGAGTTCATGTTCATCAATGATGTGGAGCAGTGCCAGTGGATCCGGCAGAAGTTTGAGACTCCAGGAGTTATGAAGTTTACTAATGAGGAAAAAAGGACTTTGTTGGCAAGGCTGGTGCGCTCGATGAGGTACACTGGGGTGTGCTGGGAAACTGGGACTGCTGGGTGAAAGCTGCTGTGATCTATAGACTGCTGAGGTGGAGGTGAATAGTCTAAGGAAGGTCTGGAGTACAGGTGGGTGTAGTTAACCTGGATGCGACATCAAAGGAAAGTGTGTGCTGTGAGGTGTGTCAGGGTCTGTGTTGTGGCTTTTGGTATTCTATTATCTTAAAAGGCAGGTTGTGTTCTATAACACTTGTCCAGCCTTTTGTGGCATATCTGGCAATGATTTAATTGGTTTGTAGCAATAAACTGGCAAAAAGTTGTTCCAACAGACTAGTAGTATATATCTGTGTTAAAGATTTGCAGCCTGTTTCAGAAAGTAAGTGTCAGAACAATGTTGGAATGTGATTTCAAGTCCTGTTTCTGCCCTTTTCCTTTTGAGATCTGCCAATGCCTTGAGTACTGTCTGCGGTTCTGGGCCCCTCAGCTCAGGAGGGATATTGAGGTGCTGGAGCAGGTGCAGAGAAGAGCAACGAGGCTGGTGAAGGGACTGGAGCACAAGTGCCATGAGGAGAGGCTGAGGGAGCTGGGGGTGTTCAGCCTGGAGAAGAGGAGGCTCAGGGGAGACCTTATTGCTCTCTACAACTCCCTGACAGGAGACTGTAGTCAAGTGGTGGTTGGTCTCTTCTCCAAGGCAATCAGCAGTAGGACAAGAGGGCACAGACTTAAGCTCTGCCAGGGGAGGGTTAGGTTGGATATTAGGAAGAGATTTTTT